TACACAGATGCCAATAAATTGGATGTGGATATTGGTTTAGTATACTCACTAGGCCCTGGGTTCCCTGACTACAAAATCGACAGTCCTGAAGCTCAGACCGCCATACAAGAGTTGATGCAGTATTTAATGCAACGCATAGAGAAACGCAAAATATTGTGTGCTGACTTGGAGACTCGATGCGATAACTTCCGCTCACATTTGATGCAAATGGAACGGGAAAACCTACAGTTGCGTACTGAATTGGCGTCACTAAAGACAGTCTATAAACAGGAACGCGAACGAATGTTGGCAATGGAAAATAAGTTACGTGTTCACGAAAGTTCTATCGACGAACTGAACAATAAACTAGGTAATCGGGAAAGGCAGATTGACGAACTTTCGCGAAAGTTAAGGGATCAGCAAAATATGCTAACTCAAAAGGAGCAAGAGAAGGAGAAACAGAAAAAGAAATTTACATCCAAGCTAGCTGTTGAAGTAGACAAAAAGGACCGTGAATTGGAAATCAGGTTACGTGAACAACGCGATAAAATGCGCGAAAAGATGCGTGTGCGGGATGAGAAGCTACGACTCGTGTCAGACATTATACAATCGGAAGATATTCCTAGTATGGTACGGCGGAATAGTAATGAAAATGGCTTCGATGATAAGATGGCCATTGCAGAGCCGCCATCGACTAATCGTGCTGAGTCCACACAAATAAATAGTGCGCGGACTGAGCTGTATTCGACGCCGCGTCATGTTAGGGTGAGTACTTGCAGTATATGATGACAATGCATCCATATTTAATTTATTTTTTTTTACTNTGCAGAGCCGCCATCCACTAATCGTGCTGAGTCCACACAAATAAATAGTGCGCGGACTGAGCTGTATTCGACGCCGCGTCATGTTAGGGTGAGTACTTGCAGTATATGATGACAATGCATCCATATTTAATTTATTTTTTTTTACTCTCATCTACAGGGAATGGCAGCAGCAAACAATAGGCACCGGCGTTCACGTTCAGCTGGTGAGAAGTGGATCGAACATCGTGCCCCTAACCCTGTACCTCTCGGCACTATTCTGCAACCATATCTTAAAAATCGTAAATCGATCACCAAGCTAACTGATGCCAAAGAGCTTACCAATCACAAGAACACAAAATATTGTCTGGTTTCTCAGGAGGCAGACACCGATGGCGATGTCGAAACTAAGCTCTACAAAGGTAATGTCATTCCAACATGTGGTGGTGGTGCTCAAGTGGTATTTGATGATGTAGAGTGTTTGAAGCAAAAGTCTCCAGTGACTTCGCCAAATCGCAAACGTCCAAGTAATGGTGGAATGACCTTAAGTGGTTTGGGTGGCGGTGCTACTTCTTCGGCGCTGTCAGCAGCAGCATTCAGCGGCGGAACATCTGCAGCCCAAGACTTAGCATCGCGTTGTAATGTTGGCATCGAGGGTCATAACAACAAACGCACCAAGGTGTAGGAATGGCAAGAGGCGGACGCTGATCCGATTATCATGATGTAAGAGTGTCAAGAAAGCGGTCCAATTTGTATTAAATTTATTTTTACGTTTTTTAACAATTACGAACNATTGAAATCGTTACTTAATTAATCTAACAAAAACTGGCTGAATGGCATTTTCTGGTACTTTTTTGTTATTATCTTTAATTTTGTATTCCAATGCGGTATTATACATAATATTTGTAACCATGAATATACTCATAAAACCAATGTATTTGCAAGCTTTTAAACTGCAAGCCATGAAGTATTTTGAATAATAAATATGAATTTATAACTGACGAAATGTAGTGTTTTGCAATGTTTTTTTTTTT